TAGAAATACCCTTATTGTAATAATTTAGATAGCTACTTGATAATTTAGATATCTAGTTAGTAGTTAGTTTAGTTAATGTGATTCATTTATTCGAATTTATAATAGTTAGTTTAATTCGAACACTTGGACACCCATCCGAACCCTCTTGCATGAGGGCAAATATGTAATCACGGTGTATGCCTTCCAACCCCAATCTCTTTCTCCCTTTTATTTACCTACTTAGGATGGTAACATAGAGCATCATATTTACTTAGCATTCCCATGTTCACATGCACTTGTTTCATGTACATTTGGGTTCGGCTCATAGTACTAACCAATGTCAATTTCAATTTCATTGCTTGAAAACGTGATTTATCACATGTCTTGAACTGGATCATATACCATGTTCATAGATGAGCCTATAAAAATTGCATAAATGTGTGCGTTACATTAGTCACATTGTATTGTTTAGGAACATGCATATTTTCTAATCATTTTTCTTTATTTGGCTTGCCTTGGAGTACTAGGTAGGTTAGCACTTCTTGTTTTAGCATACCGCATAAGTGTGATTGTTTCCATGACAATCATAATAACATGATGCTAAGTGCTTAATTGATATACTTGTTTTAATGCTGGTGGATGAAGGCTAATTGCTAAAATCGGAATAAATTGATTAATGTACATACAAACTCATTATTTTAAGTAACGCGTATTCAAAACACTTTTTTTTTTCTTCAAACGAACATGAAATCAAATGTTCTAACTTTTGCAAATTAGTCTATACTTGCGTGCAACACCTAGTAAAGTCTACCTAATAAATCAGAACAAGAACATATAATGTAAATAAGAATCACATCATGATTAGTAGAGGCCGATCTTTGATCGAGCGAGTGGGTTGCTCAATTTATGACCTTCCCTTCTCGTACCTAAGTTCCTGAGCTGAGACACTTTGGTGATGACAGATAAGTGGCCTTTGGCATGAGTCCCAGGTTTCCTAAATTTTTCAAAAATATTTGGGTGGCGACTCTGTAATCTGGCAAAGTAGTCCATTTTTGGCATTTTTTATTCAAAATCGATTTTTCAAAAGATTTGCCGGATTTGGACTCATTTGTGTTTATCAATTTCACATTGCACTTGTGAAATTAGATTCAAAACCATGGGAGTCCGAACTGTAGGGCTAGTCGTATCCGAAAGAAGCACGAAAAGCAAGCTACAAATTCTGATGACTATGCAGGGGACTTAGAGAACTTGACTTTAACATCATGATGTGAAATTTTATCAACATATATATGCTCTTTGCATAGCATTTGCATTGTTACTTTCAGTCATTGTGTTTTCCATCTGCTATTTCTAGACAGCTTGCCGGAGGCTTGCCTAAAAGCTTGCCAAAAGGTTGGCCAGTCATGGGCTCTGCCGTGTTGGAAACACAACCCTTGGATCTAGATTATCGCTATACCGCTTGATCCTCCTTTCACTTCTCGATGTTAGGTGTGAGAGGTATATTATGTAATCTTACTGAGGTATCCTTTTTGGACCAATTGGCCTAGCTGCATATAGTAAAGCCATAGTGACTGTTCCAACATAGGACAGATGCTCACCCGTATGCAAGATTTTGTGAAATTGTTTGCTTGAAGTAGTAAAACCATAAATCATATCAAATCTAGGACAGGGAAACCCTAAACTATCATAGGGTTGTTTTGAATGCTTTCGTGCAAAATGTGAAATCTTTGGCAATGTGAGATACAATCCTGAGAGAGTCTTAATCTTGAGGTGATTTTTTTCAAAATTGAGGGTCATATCAGAATCAGAATCAGAATTTGGGTCAAAATCTAGGGGTTTGTGTTTTATATTAGAACCAGAACCAGGGCCAAAAATTGTATCTTGCTTTGTTTTGACCAGCATACCTAGTATCCTGATCTGATGGGGCATTTGTTTTAATGCTAGGTTTGTCTGAGCCAAAGAAGGAGCAGTACCTAACTCAGCAAAGGCCAAGCCCAATCCAACCCGGAAGGCCTCAACCCATCACAATCCATCCAATCCCAGGAAAAAAAAAATTAAAAAACCACTCAGCAAAGGTCCAGTCCATCTGATCCCCAAAGGCCAACTTAGAAAAGATTCATCCAATGCCAAAAGACAAATTCTAAAAAGCTCAATCTAGTCAAACTTGTCTAGACTAATCCAAACCACATACATCAAGTATAATCGGGTCGAAATCCTTGTTAGCCAGCTCCTGCCTTACACCCATCCATTTCCCCAATTGTTAACTCAATAGACCCGTGATGGCTCAGAGTCCAGAAGAAGTTGTGGCCATAAATAACAACCCTAAACCAGGGAATTGCCATACAGAATGAGACCAATGCTGAAATGCAACACCCATCTGGGGTATCTACTACACATCCAGTCCCAGGCCCCCAACCGAGCTTTAATCCACCTCCACAAGCTAAAGATTTACAAGGTCCAGATTCTCAAGAAGGGTTGGCTCAGGCTCGGGTTTTCAGACCCTTGGTGCAGCCTAATGAAGGCCTTTTTCCCTTGATATTAATGATCTTGACCCGACCTTGTTAAAAATTGCCAACCTTGAGAAACAATTCAAAAAGGCATAGGGAATTAGCTCCATATTCGACATTGAGGATGGGTACACCGAGGCTTCCATACGGCTCCCAGACAGATTCAAAATGCCACCCATTGACTGTTTCGATGGGTCTGGAGATCCTATGGTACATATATGGCTTCTCTTGGATGTCCTAAAACTGATGGGTCTAACTAAGCCTTAGAAACTCTCTCTGTATGGAAGAACCCTTTCAGGTATAGCAGCCATTTGGTATGCCAAGTTGCAGGATAAAGTGAAGCAAAACTGGGAAGATTTGGCTGAGGCATTTCTCAATCATTATTCTTACAATACCCAAATTGAAATGACCACTCAAGAGTTTGAAGCAACCCATCAAAATCCTAAAGAACCTTTTGTGGAATTTGTTGCAAGGTGGAGAGCAAAGGCAGCACAAATGACAGATCGACCTTTTGAGAGGGACCAAGTGCGTATAGTGGTGCAGAACCTTGAGCCAGATATGTTACAAAAGTTAATAGTCGCTCCACTATTCACTTTCAAAAATTTGCATGAGTTAGGGATTCAGATTGAGAGTGCATTCAACAAAGGGATTATTCCCAGAACAAGCAAACCAATAAAGAAGGTGTTTTCAGAGAGTACCAATGCTAGCAATAGCATTATTCCCAAACTCACTGAAATCAATACTGTCGCCACCAACCCACAAACTGCCGACCCATTTGCCAATACCAACCCACAAATATACAGCCCAACCCGAGGTCAACGCAGAAATTTCACCTCCCTCTACATGAGCCTAACTAGCGCACTTAAAGTCATGATGGAAAGAGGGTATCTCAAACCCCTTTATCCCCAATCTTTTTCTAACCCACTCCCTGCTAGACATAACCCCACCAAATACTATGCATACCATCAATAGCGCGGTCATGGCACCAATCGTTGCTACCACCTTCGTCATGAGGTTCAGAATCTCGTCGACAACTAGACAATAACTCCACCTCAAGAACCCAATGTCACCACCAACCCACTTCCCAACAATGACCAAGTACCTCATCCATACACTACCTGCTACCTTCAAACCCAATATATACATCACCCCAGCCCATTTACCCAATCCTGAGGTGTTCATTCCAGAAAGCACGGACTTGTGCATGATGGATGCACATGAACCCCAATCATTTGAAAACCCAAAACTTAAACTTGAACCAGTCCAGCCTACTCCAAAGAGTCTAACCCAACCAATTCATCAAGACCAAGTCAGTTCAAATACATTGCGGGCACCAGTGACCGAACCTACTACTCCTGAGTTGTTAGGCATGATTAAAGATCTTCAGAGAACTATGGCAGATTTAGCCTTTGGGTTCTTGGCTCCATTATCGACCACATCATATTCCAAAAGGTTCACATCAAAAAGCTCCCCCAATCTTGGGGCGAGCTGCAGTTGGAAAGAGCCATCCTGAAGCTATCTCAAGTCTAGGTGATGACATACCAATAACAAATAGGCCTTGCTTCAATATAGCCACTCAATCCCTTGGCCAAGCTGAAGTAAGTGGCAAGAATAATGCGGGGGCAAGTATTGATCCCTATGCACATCTTTGGTGGGCTATTGAAACTTTGAAGGTCAAAGGATTAAACAAGTAGCAAGTGCTCACAGTCGTTGCAAAGACAATGGATGACACTTCTGTCGCAGTCTTTACCAGAAACACTAATCCTGATTCCTGTCCCAAGCCCATGAATACCCAGCCAACACCCACCAACCTATTTGCCAATGTTTCTAAACCTGATGCTTCTTCTTCCCAAAAATGAACCTTCGTCCATCTCTATATGAGCCTAACCCTCTCCTTGAAGGTACTAACAAGTTGGGTCTTAAGTGACGAAATTTTTTTGTCTTGAAAGAACTAATTTTGTCACTATAGATATTTGTGAGGAAATATTTTCGTCACTAGTTTCGTCATTGAATGTTTGTCACTAAAAACCACTGTGACGAAAAATAATTTTGTCACCAATGAAATTACTTCAGTGACGAAATTTTTTGTCACCAATAAAACAAGATTTTGTTGCCAAAAATTCTCATTTTTGTCACTAAATAATTATTCGGTACCATATTTATAATTTTAGTTGACGAATAAATTTGTCACAAATGTTACTCATTGATGAGGAAATAATTTCGTCACAGTAAGATGTAAAGGTGACAAAAATTTTTGTCTCCAAAAGGCATACATGAGTGACGAAATATATTTCATGGCAAAAAGATGTATACGTGACAAAATTTGTAGTTACCAAACAACAAAATCAACAAAACTTTACATATATAGCTGCGATAAATTTTGTCACAAAACATATTGTTCCATATTTTATAATTCAATTTAAATTATTATTTCACAAATATCCTGGTCATATCTCAATAGCCTTCAAATATACTAACAAATCCACTAGCTATTATACACACTCTACCAAACAATTCAGTAACCAATTTATATTATAAATCAAAATAAATCCATCATACAAATTTAATAATAATTCATCATACAAATTTTTAGTCTCCAAAGTCCATTTCTCCATGCAGATAAGCCAAACGACGAGCTGCATCTTGAGCAATTTTTAATCTTTCCATCCATGGCAGAGGAGAAGCTACTCGAGCCAATAGATGGTCCTCGAAGCTTTTGTTACGCATGAGCTCATACACCAATTTGTTACGCATGAGCTCATACACCAAAAGCTGCTGAATCCCTCTTTCATCATCTTCTGCACAGTATCCCACTAACTTGACAAGATTTGGGTGTTTGACTACATGCAACAAGTTCATTTCGTTGATCCATTCCTTGTGCCCCTGAAAACTAGAACGAAAAATAACACCCATCAGATAACCTTTAAATTTATGGAGGAGATGCTCTCAAAGATCAAACATACAATATAGCACTTTATCAATCCATAGCCAGGAAATGAGATCAATCCCATAAGCAGAGGAACCCATCCTCTAAATCCACTTGCTGTCGGTGACATAAATGGGTCATTATAATTATCGATTTGATAACTCTGTAACTAAGAAATAACAAAAGCCTTGAAAGCTATGAAAGATTCAATCACTGCCAACGAAATGAAATGGCAGCAATTGCCATGGGCAGGTGCACGTTTTTTTTTTTAAATGAGAAGAATCAAAGTATATTTAGATTAGGCATAAAAAGCATCAATGTCGTAAAACCAAGAAAACAAAAAACCCTCGTCTGGATGATAGTGCAGACACTAATTCGAAGAAGCTAAATACCCGAGGGCACATTTTGAACTGAACAACTATTTGGTCACAAGTATACAGTGATCATTTAATGGGCATTGATGATTAACAGAGATACAACCAAGATGGATCGTGTCTTATCAATTAACATATCATGACACGCCAGAATTATGTATCCACAAAACAATTTCATTTCCATGAAACATCCAAATATGCAAATGTCCCATGCTGAAAAATCTGATCTAGAGAAAGAAATGCAGCAACACCTGAAAAGGAAATAGAAAGCATGGTCTCATTTAGACTTTCAAACAAATGGCACAATTTTATGGGACTGATCTCATTTCCTGGCTCAAATCCATTCAAGTTCGTAACTAAATTGACATACTTAAAAGCTTAATTTCCTAAGACTAAGTTTGAATCATGATCTTCAATTTTCTATAGCATGACAAACATAGAATTACTAAGTCTTTTACGCTAATCCATCACACTGCATCATGCATGGCGATGGATCCATGAGGTTAGCTTGGAACTGCAAAAGACAACAGCAGCTGAGTAATCAAAGACAAGCATATCTAAATTCTAACCAATTATTTAACAAGTTCAATTTACTATGATGAGACTAACATTTTTGAAATTTTGGGAAGCAAAGCTCTGATTTGAATAGATTTTTCTGTATTCCTTTTTTCTGTATTGATGCAAGTTAGGATGCAATAGAGCATAGAGTATATTGAAATCTACACAGATGGGATCTACATTAGTATGCAGAACAATGTGGAAATTTACAATTACCAAAAAATATTCGAAAGCTTTTAAGTCACAAAACTCCAGAAATGTTCAAATGGGTACAAAGGTTTGCTGCATTTTCTCTGTTTCTTGTACTCATGCAAGTTGGAACACAGTGGACTGAGGTCTGCCCAGATGGGATTATGCAACATGTAGAACCAAAGTACTTAATAAATAAAATCAACATTAATAATTTGGAAATTCACCAAAGTACTTAAATATTGATTGAACTGAGCATATGTTCATTGTATATGAAGATCAAAAGATTAGAATCATCATGTGACATGCACTGATGAGAAATTGTTAAATAATTGGTATGAAAGCTAGAAGAGAGACTTGATGCAAACATAGCAAGCTTCAAACAAGGTCTCCTAGTTAACTTGCTCCAAGCAAATCGAGTATATCAATTCATATTCTGAAGCCTTATTATCTGTATCTTATGTTCTCGAGTCTTGAATTGCCTACGAGCCAAATTTGAAGTCAGAAATTATAAACCATCCTGAAAGAGTAAAAAAGACACTGATAAAAAGTAAAAGCTGAAAAAACTATAACTCAATTTTGATATCATTGACTTCATCAAGCTATCTCGGAGAATAATTTTGAGGGAGCTAAAATGATGAATTTGATGATGATGTATTGATGAAGATAAGAGTGGTTGGGAATTCTGCTCCAAAGAATGATGCTTTGGAAAGTATATCTTTGTAGACCACTCTATTTTATAGGTTTCTATCAGGCAAAGATTGCATAAAATTACTTATTAAATTTAAAAAGAATCAAATGCAGATAAAAGAGTCAACAAGAAAGTTGCTCTGATTTGCATGTGAACAAGCAAGAAGAACCCTATCAATTGAGCATTATAGTCCCACCATGATTCATGAGATTTGATCATATCTGATAATTTAAAGAGTAAATATGGATGTGAAACATCTCAACAGGGCTTGTTAGTCTCACTGTTTCTAAGAAACAACAAAGTCACCAGTAGCAGGTTGTGGAGTTTGCACATATTCTAGTTTCTTGTTATAATTAATTATGGTGATTTATATGATAACTCTCTTAAACATGAAGAAATTGCAATTAAAGAAACTTGTTTCCTTATTAGTTGCGCCAAAAACCATTGGCTGAGCCTCCTCATGTACTTAGGACAAACAAATACAATTAACATTATTTAATTAAGCAAAGCATTGTGAAAATTTAGATAATAGCATCCCAATAATCAAATATCCACTTAAACAAGAAAATAATCAAAATAAGGAAGTTGAAAGAATGATCAGCAGATGGATCTACACAATCACAATTCACATAATACCAGCTAATGGATTTTGAATGCACTACTTAACAACAAAGCCACTGTTTTAGCAAATGTAATTCAAATGTTGAGCTGTGGGGATATATTTTCTGAGTACCAACACGTAGCATGATGACGCCGACGTGTCAGCCGAGGTGCCACGTGTCGTGGTAGTTACGCCGAGGTGATCTCGGAGTTACCGAGGTTATCTCCAAAGATATCGGAATCCAAGATAAGCAGATAAGGGACAAGAGTCCTAGGACAACGAGGAAACTTAGCCACGATAAGGATAAAGCTCTTAGGGAGTTTATCTTTATCTCTTGAAGAATCCAAAGTCAGTATTGAATTGGAGTCCATAGAAGTCAGGCTTCTAGTGGGACTAGGATTGAGTAAACTATAAAAGAGAGGCACCCCCGTGGGTCTAAGGTACGCAGTTTTATACTCAAGCTTGTGAGTTTAGTACTTAATTATCTTTGAGAGATATACTGACTTGATCGTCGGAGTGCCCCCGGGTGGAAGAGCCACCGCCGGAGCCTTTTCTTTCTGTTGCAGGATTGCTGAAGCCATCTATTCTGCCAGTGCTCTCCAGCTGATTACTAGGCGGGCAGTGTGGTCGAAAAATCACCCACACAATTTGGCGCCGTCTGTGGGAAGACCATGGTTGCATGCAATGGGGGCAGTTCCCTCAACATTACATCAACTACTACGGTTCTCCATAGAGCATGGAATTGAAAAAGTCAGAGGAGATCAACTACAGGCAAAAAGTTGCTCCATGGCAGCAACAAAGTCCACTTGCAACATTCGAGAGCCAAAAGAGGCAGAGATTGAAGACCAGGACATAGAGGTCCTAGATGATGTCGGCAAGGAGCCAACCGAAAAGAGTGAAGAAACACTAAAGAAAATCCTAGTCCAGGAGAGCGATGAAGAACGTTTCTTTCTTCTCGGTTCTGGCTTAGCCGAAGAAGAGGAAAGAGAACTGGAAGATTTTTTGAGAGCCAACATTGAGGTGTTCGCCTGGACACCTTATGAAATGCCTGGCATTGACCCAGAGGTCACTTGCCACAGACTGAATGTCGACAGGTCGGCAAAACCTGTGATTCAACGAGCCAGAAGACTGACGCTGATACACATTGAAGCAGTAGAAGAAGAAGTAGACAAACTTCTGGAGGCCAGGGCCATCCGAGAAGTTCACTACCCGACATAGCTGTCCAACACAGTAGTAGTGAAAAAGAAGAACGGTAAATGGAGGGTCTGTATAGACTTTACCAGCCTCAACAAGGCCTGCCCCAAAGACAGCTTTCCTTTGCCTAAGATTGACCAGCTAGTAGATGCAACTTCAGGGCACGAAAGGATGAGTTTTTTAGATGCATATAAGGGGTACCACTAGATTGCCATGTACCCACCAGACGAGGAGAAGACTGCGTTCATCACCCCTAAAGGCCTATACTATTACAAGGTAATGCCTTTTGGGTTGAAAAACGCAGGAGCAACTTACCAAAGGTTAGTAACAAAAATGTTCAAGCACCTGATTGGCAAAACGGTAGAAGTCTACATCGACGACATGGTCGTAAAGACCAAGGAATCTAAGGGTCATCTTGTCGACCTAAAAAGAGGTCTTTGATATACTGAAAACATACCGGCTTCGACTCAACGCATCAAAGTGCGCATTTGGAGTTGGATCAGGTAAGTTTTTAGGGTATCTGGTAACGAGAAAGGGCATTGAGGCCAACCCAGACCAAATCAAGGCCATCTTAGAACTGCAGAGCCTAACGTCGCAAAACAGGTTCAGATGCTTACTGGAAGGGCCGCAGCCCTAAACAGATTCATCAACAGAAGCTCAGATAAATGCAACCCTTCTTCAACTTGGTGAAAAAAGCCACAGACTTTCTATGGACAGAGAATGCGAAACCGCTCTAGCCGACCTAAAGGCCTACGTATCCCAAACTCCGGTTCTTTCCAATCCAGAACCAGGGGAAGAACTGTTTTTGTACTTGGCAGTTTCAGAACACGCAGTAAGTGCAGTACTAATCCGAGAAGAAAAATGGGAGCAAAAGGCGGTTTACTATGTAAGCAAAACCTTGGCCAGCGCAGAAACAAGGTATCTACCACTGGAGAAATTAATGATGGCCTTAGTAATGGCTTCAAAGAAGCTGAACCATTATTTTCAGGTGCACAAGATTGTGGTCCTAACAGAGCACCCACTGAAGTCCTGGTTGCAACAAGGAGACTTAACAGGAAGGATAGCAAGATGGGCAGTGGCCCTGGGTCAGTATGACCTGGAGTTCAGGCCGAGAACAGCAATAAAGGGCCAAGTTTTGGCCGACTTCGTGGCAGAATTCACACCGGAAACCATCGAACATCGGGCTCCGTTGAGCCGAGATGAGCAGTATCCCAGCAAGCAAGGAGAAGCCCAGCCAAAGGCAAAAGAGCAAAGGAAGGAAAAACTCAGACCCTGCAGCATCTACATCGGCGATTCATTCAGACTGTTGGTCGATGGAAGTTCAAACCGTCAAGGAGCGAGGGAAGGAGTACTGCTGATATCTCCAGATGGAGAAATAATAGAACAGTCCATCCGTTTGGGGTTCAAGGCCTCAAATAATGAAGCAGAGTACGAAACATTAATTGCAAGGCTAAAACTGGCAGCAGCAGTAGAAGCAGATGAGGTAATTATTTTTTGTGATTCACAACTTATTGTTAACCAGTCAATAGGAGAATTTGCAGCCAGAGACGAAAGGATGTCAGCATATGCAAAAGAGGTCATCAGATTGGTAGCCCTATTTCAGAACTGCCGACTACTGCAAGTCAGCCGAGATGACAACACCCACGCCGACGCATTGGCTTACCTGGCAAGTTCAATACAGACTGGAAAAACAAGAACAATTATAATCGACTATATGTCGGGCCCGAGCATAAAACCAGACAGCACAAAGCAGCAAGCAATGTGTATGGACGTGGGGCCAAGCTGGATGGATGCAATTGTTGCATTCCTGAAAGAAGAAAAGTTGCCAGATGATCGTAATGAGGCACACAAAGTCAGATTGAAATCTGTAAGATTCTGTCTAACAGAAGATGGACATCTTTACAGAAGATCCTTCACTGGACCCCTTTTAAGGTGCGCACACCCTTTGCAGGTTGAAGATTTCCTATATGAAATTCATGAAGGAATTTGTGGAAGCCATGCTGGGGGCAGATCATTAGCCCACAGGGCCATTACCCAGCGGTATTGGTGGCCCTACATGCAAAAAGACGCCGAAGCCTACGTGAAGAAGTGTGAAGAATGCCAAAGGTTTGCACCTTTAATACATCAGCCAGCTGCTGACCTGAACCCAGTATCTAGCCCTTGGCCATTTGCCCAATGGGGCATGGATCTTATCGGGCAACTTCCCCAGGCAACTAGGCAGAGAAAATACTTGCTGGTGGCCACAGATTACTTTACCAAATGGATAGAGACATAACCTCTTGCCGAAATCCGAGATGTGGATGTCAAGAACTTTATATGGAAAAACAACATCACCAGATTTGGGATTCCAAGAGCAATAGTTGCCGACAACGGAACACAGTTTGACAGCAAACTCATCAAGAACTTTTGTGCAAAATTCAAGATCAAAAATTAATTTTCAACACCAAGTTTTCCCCAAAGTAATGGGCAAGCAGAAGCATCCAATAAAGTAATTCTGGATGGAATAAAGAAGAGGCTGCAGGTAGCAAAAGGAAAGTGGGTAGACGAATTGCCCAACGTGCTTTGGGCATATCGGACTACGCCGAGAAGATCAACTGGGGAATCCCCCTTTGCCATGGCTTATGGCACAGAAGCTGTCATCCCATTAGAGATCGGCATCCCAGGGATCAGGACCCAGGGAGTAGAGAATGGCACTAACGACATCCTCTTAGCCCGAGATCTGGATCTTTTAGAAGAACGAAGAGAAAAGGCTGCAATTCAGCTAGCAGTATACCAGCAACAACTTGCTAGAGCTTACAACAAAAAGGTCAATCCAAGAGATTTTCAAGTCGCCGACCTAGTCTTGAGAAAAGTTGTCGGCAACAAAAAGGATCCCAGAGAGGGCAAGCTTGGCCCAAACTGGGAAGGACCCTACAGAATTACTTCAGTATTAGGCAATGGAGCCTATCGGCTTGAAGATAACGAGGGCAAAACACTGCCAAGACCTTGGAACACTTGTAATTTAAAATTCTTCTATCATTAGATGTGCAGTATTTTTTGCCAATGTTTTTAATAAAGTTTTTTCAAGTGTTCTTTCAACACATATGACTGATAAAATTACATACTGATGTTTTTGGAGACATGAATAATGAGAACCCAAGTAGAACTCAGGTTCACATTGGGGGCTAGAAGAAGAAGAATACGTTTACCACTTGTTGAAATTTGTAGCAATTTACAAGTTGGTTAAACCAAGATAATGTTTAAAACTGAAATTAGACCGGGATGATGCTTAACCGAAGTTAAGCCGAGATGATTCCTTGTCTTCACTTGTTGAAATTTGTAGCAATTTACAAGATAATGTTAAGCCGACATGTGATCATCCGTCGAAATTTACAGCAATTTGCAGGTTGAAGTAAAAGCTAAGTATATTGTTCAAACACTTGTTGAAATTTGCAGCAATTTACAAGTAGATCATTATTTAACACTTGTCATAACTTGAGAACAGTTTACAGTATATGTTAACACTTGTTAAAATTTGTAGCAATTTACAAGTAGGTTAGATCGAGATCACTGTTTACATACTTGTTGAAACTTGAGAAGAAACTTGCAGAGTTAATATTGAATAGTATATGTTAAACACTTGTTGGAATTTATCAAGAGTTTTCAGGTCTGTATCTTGCCAAAGTAAAGTTTGATGTTGTACCCGAGGTATGTAACCCCGAGGAGATTGCACAAAGGTGGCAAAAAAAAATAATAAAAGGCATACAACCATGCAGAAACAAATCAAAGAGAAATTAAAAGATTGAAGCATCCATAGAAAAACAGTTGCAACTATGTACAAAGGAAGGCACATCGGCCATAAAAGGAAGTTTACACTGTTCAGAAAACAAAACAAAGTATAAAAAAGGCAAGGAAATAAAGACATTCAAATCAGGATTCTTCAGCATTAACAGCTGGAGGCACTGGGACCTCGGAAGATTCTAGTGGAACCTCCTCGGCAATCTTTTCTGCTTCAAGCTCGGTATCAATCTCTGCAAGCGTTTTGTCAAGACTTCTTTCAGCTAAAAGGAGGTCGGATGATAAGATCCCTGTAACAACTTTCCTAGGCGCCTCCCTAACCTCATCACCCTCTTCATCCAAAGTTAAGTCCATGACTTACTCAGTTGAAGAAGGGGACTTGGCCTCAGTAGCATCCTTGGATTTCCTCACCAAGGCCTCATCTTCATTACTATCTTCATCCTCAACGTCAGATTCTGCCTCATCTTCAGCTTGACTTGAAGATGGAGCAGGAGGAGGGAATGGGAGAGGAATAGCTTCAGCCTTGTGCAGAGGAGAATCTTCAGGAACATTGAGCTTTTTGGCCAAGGACATCCAACCAAGGGAAAAGCCCCTGTTGCATGCCTGCCTAACTTGCAGTTTGTAGTCCTCAGCAACATCGGCCATTCCTTGGGCGTAAGCTTTTTAGTGGCCAGGGCCTGCTCGAGCTCTTTTTCAGGTTGAGCCTTTTTTACCTCGGCATCTCTCCTCTCGGCCTCGGCAACTTTTTTGATGGCTTCAGCAGACTCTGCTTTTTCTTCAGCCATCTGTTGGGCCTTAGTGGCAGCCTCGGCCTGATCTTCCAGCTTCTTCATCTTTGTCAGGATAGCTTTGTTCTCCTTTTTTAGGGCAGCAACCTCCCTCTTCATGTCGGCCAATCTTTGTCGATTTTCAAAAGATTGCATTAAAAACGAATGGGCGTGCTGGATGGCCTGAAAGAAAACAGAAGTGTTAGAAAATCTTCTAAAGCAGAAAGAAAAGTCAAAACAGGAAACACTTACTTGAACGGAGTGCTGGAGCATTAGCGCGTAGTTTTCATACTCACTGTACCCAGCATTTCGCTCCTGATCGCTTGGAAGAAGAAGAGCAGTACTGAGGGCGACACCGACATTAATGTCGTCGGCACTCTCAGTTGACATAATTGGCCTATCTTCCAAAGTCAACTTTGGAGCCCAGGGGACATCGGGTTTCTTGGAACCCGAGGTCGTCGCAGACGATGACCTCGGCTTCTTTGATTGAGCGGATCCTGATGGTTGGGCCTCAGCAGACCTCTTGGCAGAAGTAGAGGTACTCTTTCTATTCTCGACCAATTGGGAGATGGACAGAGCATCCTCAACCTCAACCTCAGCGGCTTTGGCCTTGGGCTGAGCCTTTTTGATTCTTTTGGGCTTTCGTGGGGGCATGGATTGAGCTGGAACAGCATCAACATTGGCAGGTAAGTCGGCTAAAAGATCTACTGCGACAGGCTTCGGGCGACCCATCTCAGCAGTCTTGACAAGTCGACGCCGACGTTTTCTTTCTAGTATTGGGACTAAGTATGGGACTGAAGTAGATGGCAGATCGACTGGGTCAGAAGTGGATCCTTCGTCTGCTCGTGATGTGGAAGCAATGGGAGGAGTTATGGCAGAATGTGGAGAAAGACTCTTTTTCTTCCTTTTTGGGACGTCGGGTAGTGTGGATTTGTATGTCGGAATAAAATTCAGTAAAAGGGGAGCCTTGCGCTTGTGGATTGGAAGATCAAGGAGCTTCTTTAAATCTTTTCCTGGGAAGTACGATTGGCGAAATTTTTTTGGTGGCTGATGAAGATCTGCAGAACAAACAGACATTAGAAGCAGACAAAGTTTTAAAGACTTAGAAATAACTAAGTATTGATGTTGGGCTCTTACCCTTGCCCTCTTTAACTGTTCGAGGAAGAGGGTAGAGGTGAACATCTTCGTCTGCACCAAATTCCCAATTTCCCAAAGCTATGACAAAGTCATCCCCGGCTCCCTTGTTGGAGTCCGGGAGGTCGGCTACAATTTTGAACTCAGTAGACCTCGGCTTGAGGTAGTAGACGTAACCTCTTTCCTTCAGGTTAAGGGGGCACATGGTATAACAATATTGTACATCGGCAAGGGTGATCCTAACATTTTCCTGCCTAGTTAGGGCTATGATACCATTAATCACTCGATAGGAGTTGATGGTAAGTTGCATGGGGTTCAACTTATAGAAGTGGAGAACCTCACGAAAAAGGGGATTGAGTGGAAGCCGGAGTCCGCACTCAGTAAAAGCTACTATAGGAAAGGGCATTGAATTATCCGTGGGCATGATAGAGTCATTATCTTCAGCCAGCCTCAGGTGGACATCGGCAGGAATGGAAAATTCTTGCCTAAAAAATTCAAGTTTAGTTGGGGTGTTTACCCGGTGTCTTCACATACCCATTACGTCGGCCTAAACAAAGAAGGCTGTGTTTCAAAAGATAGGTGTTTCAGAAGGGTTGCTAGAACCTCGGTTTCAAACCTGGGTAAGGACTGGTAAGGTTTGTTTCACTTTTTCCTAAAGATTAAAGGTTCTACAGACAAATCCCAAACCTAAAGCTATAAAGATGAAGATCGAGGGCACAGATCTGGTAAAGACACAAAAAATAGAGAACAAAAGCGAAGTTTCAGAAACAAGAACAGGGATGGGCTATCAAGAACACGAAGAATACAAAGGGCTAAGGGCCAAGAACAGTGGTGAAACAGTGCAAAGTGTTCATGGCATGTGAAAAATCATGGAACAAGACGCATTCAGGAGAATGATTCACAAATAATGCCTAAAAAGAGCAGTAATAGCAAGAAACTTCATAAATAATCAAGAATTAGAAAAAGAGGATAAGGGGGCCAGTTGCTTACCGGATAAAATGAAGCCGGAGCAATATTCGCCGAGATCAGACGAAAGTTGTAGCAGTGGCAAAAGCTTCGCAGGGAATGGAAGAATAAAGATGGTCACAGAATCTGGGGCTTAGAGCAATGGCAGATTCGAAGAATGCTAGAGCTTTTAGAGAGAGAAAAAGTAAGAAATCAGAATGCAAAAAGTAGAGAAAGGAAGAGGGAAAGAAAAGTTTTGTAAAAAAACTTGAAATGGCGGCAAAAAACGGCATTTATTGCGCCTGGGGGAACGCGTGCGTCAGATGGCGCAGACGGATGAAAGATGGCTTACAGGCGCGTCACGGACGCGGGCCAATAAGGATGTAACGCATGAATAAAATGGTTGAAAAGTGATGTATGACAGCTCATACACATAAAGGGATTCATTTGAAGTTCTTATTCTCCGATGAAGACATATGGGCCTAACATGAATGATCTCGGCCAAAGAGCTCTTACGCCGAGGTAATAGAAGAAAATACAGATATAGGTTCCATCACCTCAGAATGACAATGCCGAGGTAATAGAACCTAGGGGGCAGTTGTGGGGATATATTTTTTGAGTACCAACACGTAGCATGATGACGCCGACGTGTCAGCCGAGGTGCCACATGTCGTGGTAGTTACGCCGAGGTTATCTCCAAAGATATCGGAATCCGAGATAAGCAGATAAGGGACAAGAGTCCTAGGACAACGAGGAGACTTAGCCACGATAAGGGTAAAGCTCTTAGGGAGTTTATCTTTATCTCTTGAAGAATCCAAAGTCAGTATTGAATTGGAGTCCATAGAAGTCAGGCTTATAGCGGGACTAGGATTGAGTAAACTATAAAAGAGAGGCACCCCCGTGGGTCTAAGGTACGCAGTTTTATACTCAAGCTTGTGAGTTTAGCACTTAATTATCTTTGAGAGATATACTGACTTGATCGTCGGAGTGCCCCCGGGTGGAAGAGCCACCGCCGAAGCCTTTTCTTTCTGTTGCAGGATTGCTGAAGCCATCTATTCTGTCAGTGCTCTCCAGCTGATTACTAGGCGGGCAGTGTGGTCGAAAAATCACCCACACATGAGCTTATAATCATAAAATTGCTACTGTCTTGCCAGCAGGACCGACAAGAAGATAAGCAACACACTCCTAAATAACTATAATTGACTCAGATGAAAACAAGGTTGAGTAATAGTACTTGTCTACTAATCTAACAAAGATATTTGTCAATGTCCTTATCATCGCTAAATTAAATCACTATTCATGTTAGAACTTACAAGTTCCATGAAGGACCCTCCAACAAACTACATTGGTTTAGTTCCAATAAAATGTGAAAGGCTTGTATGTATGAGATAAAAATCACAAGCATTAGGTGTGCTTGCCTGCAAATGAGATGGCCAAGCTGCATGTTTAACAAACCAATCGAAAACTCAGTGTATACTCCATTTATGAATCTATCAAACATCCTACTATCCTCTAAATTCTGTTTAAATACATATATGCATTAATCACCGATGGAACTAATTGATTTGGTTTCATCCTCACAACATAGATTTAAGCAAAAGTCTCAATTAAGAAACAATAAAGGAATTGAAGAGTTCAGATAAGAGCTCACTGTAAATGCCACAAAAGCATTGGAAAGAACGAGAAACCCATACTTAGCCATGCCTTTTGATCTTTGTTTTTTAGTAAATCTGCTACAGTTTCCTGTTAATTGCGTATAAAGCAACTAACATGAACGAGTCATTAACTTAACAAGTCTATATTCAAGCACTTTCTATGGAGGTCCTTGGCCAAAAGTTATTATAAGAAAATTTATTAATATAATCACTTTTAATAATAAAGGGTAAATCCATACAATTTATTCAATCAACTAACCAATATTAATGTCAATTGAAGTAGACTTATGCGAAGGTGAAAAACTAAACTGTTTTTAGCCAAGTGATATCCATTGAGTGAAAAATACCCAGCATGAAGGATTTTGATAGATTGTAACAGGAAAAAGATAATAATCAATACCTTTCTTCAATGACGATCCATGTAACTTAAATATTCCAATTGCATCCCCAAGAGAAAATTTGTTACACAAACACATAAAAATAAACTTATAACCAAGTCCAAAATTTTAGAAAAACTGATTCAAAAAAGTTAGTATGCAGATATGCTTCAAGAGAACTTGAAAAACGGAGTTAAAATTTGTTAAATGTAAGTAAGTTTGCAATCATGATTTGTAGTTCTGATCCAACCTAAGTCTTATGAGCTTGGTGGAGAGATTTGCAATCAAAGTGGGCAATACACCCCTAAGCTGATTAGCATGCAAACGCATCACACTTAGATTGGAGCAATTGGTCAAGGAGGTGAGGAACTGCAAGTCATTGGATTTTGTAGTGCCAAGAGTATTAGCCCCAAAATTTAAAAGCTCAAGTTGTTTAAGTTCACCCAAATTCTGTGGTATGCCCCCTGTCAAAGCATTTGAGCCAAGACCAATCACTCCAAGACGTGAAGCATTAACCAGAGATGCAGGTATGGTCCTAGAGAATTGGTTTTCTCCCATGTAAATCCTTTCAAGTTTTGGAAGAGTGAGACCTAGGTTAGAGGGCAAGCTTCCATGCAATTGGTTTGAGACTAGAGCTAATATGTTGATTGATGAAATGTTGAGAATAGCAGGAGGGATCATACTGGTCAACTTGTTTTCAGACAACTGAAGCTCTTCCAAGTTTGAGAACTTTCCAAGTTCCACAGGAGTTTGGCCTTCTAAATTGTTGTTTGACATATTAAAAAAACGCAGAGCAGAGATGTTCCCAAGTGTAGGTGGGATTGTTCTAAAAAATTGATTCAGGGATAGGACTAATTCATAATGTTTTGGCAAAGAGCCAAGTTGAGTTGGAACCTTCCCTCCAAGATTGTTATTAATTAAATTGATGACTCTAAGGTCTAAACAATGTGTGACATTAACGGGAAATTCTCCATCGAAAGAGTTGTTTCCAAGAATAAGATAACGTATTTGAAACAAGCGACCAACCTCTTGGGGGATCACCCCATGGAAGCTGTTGTTCTTGAGGATGATCACCCGAAGGAAGGTAAGGTTTCCTATGTGAGGAGACAAGGAACCTACTAATTTTAGTGATGAAAGGTTTAGTGCACACTTGCTCTCTGATGATGCCTATGACTGCAAGTAACTCCTTGCCATTTGCAAAAATTGAGAGAACTGTTCCATGAGCTAAAGACCCTAAAAGGATCTTTAGCAAAGCTTGCATGTCTGTGTCATTTGTGAAACCAAAAGTGGGAACAAAGCTCATGTAAAAGAGAAGAATGAAAGAAAAAATGAGGAAGGAACAACAACTTAGTGGCCTGAAAAGCATGGTGTTATGTTCCATTTGGTGTTTTAGAAGAAGAATGGTGAAGGAGACGAATGAAGGGTTCAAGTTATATAACCAAAATTCATAACAAACCTAGCTTACTTTGGGAGAATTCATTGGATCAAGTCCGTCCATTAACATTGACTCTTCTCCTCCTCCTTCCACTTACTTGGAAATATTTGAAAATGAAATTTCTCCAACAATCTTCTTAGGCTTCTAAACTTAGATTTTGATTTTTTCCAAAATACTAAAAGAAAATTCCTTTTCCCTAAAATTAGGAAACAATATCACGCTTTTCATATTTGATCATAGTTCCATCCACTTGTTTAAAATTGATAAGGGCAATTAAGTAAAAAATCATAATATTTTTCAAACTTTTTTTATCCTAATCAAATCCATGCCAAAACAATAAATTTTCAATTGTTGTTTGTGCAATCTTATGGTGATTGAAAACTCACTAATTTTTCTTACAAGCGACTTAATTATAATCATATTTCCATCTTTTTTTTATTTCTTGGCAACCATATTTCCATCATACATGTCTTTTATCACATTCATATATCTTTTTTATCACCATTTTTTTTATTTATAAACACCCATAATATTGAATCTCTAAGCACCCTATCTAGGCTTTTAATAGGTATACATTGAGAAGATGAATGGAAAACGAGGGACATGGGTCAAGTGCATCCATTACGCTTGACTCTTCTGGATATGGGGATACAGCAGGGTACTGTAGTCTCTCATCGGGATCAATACCATTTGTATTTTGATTATTCAAATCGTTCATATTGTAAGATTTATTGAGTAAAAAAATTAGATTAATCAGACATTTGCCACCACACAAAAATATCACATTTGTTTTTAAAAAAAATAACGTCCAATATGATTTTGATAATAAATTATTCATTATTTAGGCCCTGATCATGTGGTCATGAATGTCTAATTAATTTTTTATTTTATTTTATAGCTATTTTACTTAACAAACCCTATAATATAAATAATATGAATTTTCAAAATTGCTCCAATCTAAGTGTGTTGCATTGTCTCTTTGCTTAGAGAGCATGAGCTACAATGTTAAATTGGTGGGATGTACAGTGGCCTTTGCTAGGTACAATTGAAAGTCTATTCCATTGGTGGGAGGGAGGTAGGTTTCTTGAAAAAGAAGAGGAAAATTTGGAGGGCTATACCATTGACTGTTTCGTGGTCTTTATGGAAGATGAGAAATGAGTGTGTGTTTAATGCTTCTATCCCCAATTTGGTTGAATTGTGTGAGTTGATGAAGATTAAAATTGCTCTTTGGCTGAAGTCAGATTACAAGGAGTTTGTGTAAAAGAAAAGGAAGTAGAATAGAATGTATGTTGTGTGTGTACTTGTAGAAAAAAGAAAATAATAAAAGAAAAAAAAGAAGAGGTTGGTTATATATTCATTAATAATTTAAATCATTGAATCAACTTGGAAAACAATCCCAAATCATTACTCAAATCCATAATCCTTGAAAAATTAACCAAAAAATTAAGCGCATGAATTAGATTTGTTTTAAAAGTGGCCTACATGACAGTAAGTTTGAGTTTGATTTGCACTAAACATTTTATATTCTTTATTAGCCGAAAAAAATAGGATCAAAATGTCCAAATATGTAGCCATCTAAAGCTTGGGGATGATCCTAGATATATTTGGGTTTTTCAAAAGGAGTGTGCTGGACCTATGTCTTTGTTGAAAGGAGAGAGTAGTAGGCAAGTAGAGGAAAAGGGCTTGGCAATTGGCACCTTGTTATGTTTGATGTGGCTTATGTGGGGCAAGTGTAATTGACAACCTTTGTTGGGTGGAATAACCTCTCTTTAAATGAGAGAGTAAGTTTTTACCTCTCCTATAATTGGTTTCAGGGAATTGTGGAACCAATCAATTATGAATTTTGCAGACACTTTAGAGGGACGTGATATTAAATAGGAGATCTTTGTCAAAAAGAAAAAAGAAAGACCCACTTTTACTGCTGTATATAGTGTATGAAGTGAAAATGAAATAGACAAACATTAGGAGCAGTTAAATAGAACTACAATTTTAGTAATGAGAAAAAATCATTGTTAAATTAGTATTGGAGTTAATATTAAGAATCGAAAGAAAATTTTGTATAATTAAAACTACAATCCATTTCGTTTGTTCAATATATCTTCAACTTGAAATTCAAAAACCCTAAATCATTTCATAGAATAAATCATCTCATCTATCACACCAATAATTAGTTCAAAAAACTCTAAATCTAGAACAAAAATCAAAACTAATGTACTCATTTCACAAAAATAAAAATCCTACAACATCAACAACAACAACAACAAAAACCGTAGCTCTAGAGTGAAATAGGAAAATAAAAGAAGAGAGAGAGAGAGAGAGAGAGAGAGACCTGAACGTCGATGGGAGCCGAGGAGATGGTGAGCTACGATGACTGACTGACGGCGAGTAATGCTGACTAATCGACGATGAGCGACTTTGAGAGAGAGTGGGGAGCAAGACTCTGTTTGGTGTTTGGTCACTCTGTTTGGTGTATGTACCTGTGATATAGATAAATAAAAAAAATAATAATAATGAAATTAAACTAAACTCAAATTGGGCGGTAATATTCAGAGTGAAAATCGAGTTAATTGGAATTATAGAGATTAAAATTCAAAAAAATTTATTATTGCATAGGAGGGTAATTTGAATTTTTTTTTAAGTCATATAAAGTCATTGATCAATTTTATACATGTGACAAGCATAGTTAAAAAAACATGTTCTATTCAGTTTAATTTATTTTTTTTTATTGTTTTGTTCATTTTAAAAATTTTGAAAATATATTGGCATTTTTTGTTTTTTCAAAAAATGCCATTAGATAGCTTGGAAAGTTTTTGTCTTAGTGACATTTCTCAAAATGCTATAAAATATTTGTTTATAACACCTTTCACCTAATGCCATAAAAAGTAACTTGCACCCACCTAGTTTAATGACATCTGTTGATAAATGTCACTAAAACAATTTCTTGTGTCACATAAAATTGATGTGACATTTTTTATTGAAATGCCACTAAAGCCTTATATGTTTACGATTCTGTAGCATTTTTCTAAAATATGTCGCCAAAAATTATTTTTGTGACATTTTTTAAAAACATGTCACTAGTGTAGTGCCACTAAAGTGTGTTTTTGTTGTAGTGTATATTTTTCATCAAATAGTTTCAAAATATTTAAAATCAAATTTTTCAAAAAAAAAATATTTAAAA